AGGAAAAGTGAAAAAAATACTTCTTATCGCCAGCATAAATGCGTAATTATTTTTTTTACAGAAAAAGTAATTTTTCACCTTTGATTGAGTAACACGTCGTAGAATGCAGATACGGGCATGCAAAATACACTTGTGAAAAGTTTGAAGTCTGGCAATTCTGAAAATATATACTTTCCTGGGTCTATTTGTAGTCATTTAGTCACAACTTGAAGATGAAATCAAGTATGAAAATAATAGTCCCGCTACCTTAAAGGGGTCTTTGATTATATACATAGACATCACTATGTCTTACCCCTCACGACTAAATAGTATTATATCACGTAGTGTATGTAGTAGAACACGATGACATATTCCTTGTCTGGACTTTGCAATTGGTATTATTTGAACATTTTTATATGAAATCTCGAAGGGTGCTTAGCATTGAAGATGTGTGTCACAGCGTGAGGCCTGCTTATTGATATTGAGGGGGACACCCACAAAACTCACGCTGGACAGGGGGTTCTTTCACTACTAGAATGGGGTAGACAAGACAATAGTACTGGAAATGAAATACACACACCAACATATGAAGTTAAAGCTCCTATGACTTTTCGCAGAAACAAAACACAGAACAATACAATGCATAAATTCACTAAAATAGGGGATTGTCTAGGGAGGTGTGTATTGGCGATAGCTAGCAGTTCCAGGATGTGTAAATTGATGACAGTCAATGGCTTGTGGTGATATCCAATTGAACATTGACAATATTCAGAACAGGTCACATTAAATGAATTACAGAAGCATCTCTTATGCCCGATAAATGTTAACTCGTATATAGATTACAGTATGTCCCAGATCATGTATCATAGATTAACGTTCCATGGTAACAGAGAAATAAATGAAGTGGACACACATAACAAATATACTTTTAACAGAAATAAATGGCGAATACACGAATGGGGTAAACAATAGTCGGAAAGAATGATGAGTGGAAGGAGAGATATACGAATGGTAGTAGATGAGGGTAAATTTAGGTTCCTAGGTAACCCACGTGACATGGCAAAGTTTAGAGACAAAGGTCAAAGATCACGGTATATATGTGTATGTCGTTCACAATATAAGAGTCAGGAAGTTACTTGGTACGTTCCTTTTGTGATCCCAAAACTTAATTTTCAAGTTCGAAGGTCAAGGTAACAGTCTATATATGCCTAAACTGTGACTCTGAGTGTTGATATAGAGCAGATTGGCATATTCTTTGAGTCGGTAAAGTTCCCTTGTGAAGCAATTTCAAAACTTGTTGCCGAGCCCAGGTTCCATTTAAATTTAGACAAAATTTAAACTGTGTGATATCTACTTGTGTTGGAAAAACCTGTTTGATTAATAAGCCTGTAGCACATGTTGATATTAATGTAGTCTATATATTATTGAAAAGACTAATAAGGTTGTATGAAGAAATCAGTCATTATAACCTAATAGAAAACCACTACTAAGTCAAGTACAAGCAAATGACAGTTGGTCAACACCTGACTGTAGAACTGTAGTACTGTCAAGTTCAGAGTCGCAACGTGTTCTTAATTGATAGCTTTTCGATTAGACAGAAGTCCAAGACAGTAGCAGATCGAGTCTCATTGCATTAGTGGATTATCCAGAAACAGCCTGGCGCTTACCACAAATGAGGGTTGCGTATTTGATATCTTGATGGAAATACAAGCCTATTATTTACGATGTTAACAACCCCTTAGTCTTCTAGTAAAACAAACGTGTCGCATTCAGTAAACTTTTCTATACACAAACAAATGACCCCCTAACTCACCTATAGGAGAATGTTTGGACACTGTATTGGTAGCGTTCGCTTTAGCTATGTCTTTTTAAATTTGCTTCACAGAACAGTCAAGTTTAGGTAAGTTTACTTCAGCAGTTATTGAATGGATTATTTAAAGACATTTGTGAGTTGTATGTTTGGTCACTCCGAACATGGATGTTATATGTTGGAAACATTTCTTAAATCATACACCACAGTTTGAGTCGCCGTTTGTCAAAGGACCGAGATACACTTCTGTGTTTGCGATTGAATGTTTACTGATGTTAACAGATTCAATTAATACACTACACTGTATCATATGTTCCACCCATGTTTGCAAAAGCCATCTCTCCCTGCGTTCGTATGTCTCAATTGTTAAGCGAAAGTAGTGTGATATGTGTGAATCAATTGTTCCAGGCGGTATTCTGAAATACAATATTTCTGTTTGCCTAGTACTATATAAACAATGGATGAATAGTAGAATGTCGTCGGTTCAGTAATTGAAACCTGAACTTACATATACTGAAAGACTCATGGTTAGTAAACTTCGTCGAAATATGAGCTGTTACAGCTAATAGACCGATCAGTTACACATCATTATTGTATGACCCTGACGCGTGATTCTTATATTATGTATTGGTAAACCCCCAAATACCCCCATTTTCTCCATTGAGAAATGAACTATATCAATACAATTTTCCTGGGCACTTGTTAACGAAGGATATGGTCAAAGCATTGTTGATGTTCATTCTCACTCGACGTGTAGATTTATAGGTTGGTTATAGGCATGTGTGGACAAGACTTGTACGCATGGCTGATAGATGCTATTAATTTATGTCTCTGACAAAATTGGTGACTCTATAGAAAATTAATAGACCGTAACATTTGCCTGGAAGAAATATCTAATAAGAACGTGCACACCGTACTAATTTAAAATGTGAATCAGTCTAGTACAATAAAGTCAGTAGATGACATCTGAACCCTATTCACTTTCAATATTTTGGAGTATGCAAATCGCATCTGGTGTAATGCAAAATCAAAAAAATTACAAAATTGAATCACGACCAACAAAAGACAACTGAAATTATTTACAAGAAAGAAAACTGAAGGGGGTGGCTGCGCACAAAACGGTAACGTGCATTAAAAAAAATAATATAAACAAACACTAGCCTTCTAAACTTTAAAATAAAATTCACATTAAGCTACATCCATTTTGGTAAACAATTGATATTATTATTATGGCTGCATGTTTGCACTAAATACTATACATTCACATCCCAACTTGACTTAATGTGCATATCCGCAAACCTGTAGTTGAAATAAGAACATCTGTAAAAGGGCACATTCAACCAATTACGTCAAGGAAATATCAGTTCTTTGTTGCATCATAGGACATTCCTACGTGCGTAGATAATACTACATTTATGTTGTTGCTAGGGGTTGTAATGGATGTCTGACATGTGTAGACAAGGTGAATACACATGAATAAAACCCATCAAACTATTCTCTTACAACTGTGACAACTGCCCGGAAAGTATATTTAAATGCTCTAATTTATAGACCAGACTTTACACAGTACTGTTGATATTACACAGCACAAAGTCAGGAAAACTATATGCATATGTTTTCCAGTTAAAAACTATTGCTAACTAACTATTGGATAAAAGGCCAAACAAAAAGCCTATTTTTTATTCAGTAAATGAACCTGTGTAAAAGTATTATTAGGTTTACAACTATATCGACCAAAATACTTTCGGAACATTAAGACTCGTCGTTCTCTAAAATATCACTGTCAAAATAAAGAAGGACATGTATGCCCTTGACATCAAAATAAACTTATATGCATGTAGGTGAATGTATCTTTATAAAAGTAAGCTATTGTCTAGTCAAATATTTGTTGTTTCAGTGATTATCCTTTAAGACTAGTAATATGGCACTTACAAATGTGTTGTTTTATATTGAAGATGCTGAACACGACATATCAAGAACCACATATATAGAACATAACAATCGACAAACAACGTGATGTCAACAGAACGTTGTGGATACCACAGGACATTCGGTCGAATTTCATTACTCGAAGATACTGAAGACGCTGTATACAATAGTTGAACAACGTACTGATAAGTAGCACAACATCGACCTACAACAATCCCTGAATACCTTACTCTTTTCTTCACTTGTCATTTTCTTCTTTCTTCTGATCATTGCTTGAATGATAAACATGATTTCAGCATATGACCATCATTCAAGTTATCTTTCAGTAATCGTTTCCATTCCGGGACACTCCATATCTTCTCCATACAAAATACTCTGTAAATCGATGTAATGGACGTAAACTAAAATCTGCATAGCAAACAAGCTTTTCAATTCGAAGTCATTTTATGCTCAGGTGACAATAACTATGGGGAGTGCTTCATCCTTGTTATCAGAACCGGAACCTAAGTTTGAAGTTACGAATACTTCTGTAAGAGCATTACCAAATATACTATTTGATGCTGATTCTATTCCATTCAAGACGCTGAAATTAACTAATAATAACATCCTAAGTATACAGCACGAAGTGCAACAGCTTACAAGTCTGGAGGTAGTTGATCTAAGCCACAACAAGATAGCCCGTGTTCCATTTCAATTATTGGAGCTACCTCGTCTCAGGTGCCTGTCACTCGCGGGTAATTGTCTGCAAAAAATATATGATGTCAACAAAGCTACTAAACTGCAATATCTTGATATTAGTGAAAATCATTTTGAAAGCATGTTAGATGTCCATGGATTATTTGAACTCAACAAACTCAAAAATCTTCAAATGAGATCCAACAGACTGACAGAAATACCAGATATTATCAGTAAACTACACAGTTTGCAATACCTTGACTGTAGTCTGAATGAAATTAGAATAATTAACAAACTTCCTGCCGCATTACACACTTTCAAATTACGTGCTGGACGAAATTCAAGGCTAACAATTGTCAGTAACATTGGTAACACTTGCAGGCGAATGAAACACTTAGATCTAAGTAACAACCACATCGATTCAAAAGACGAGGCAATGGATAATGAAATCGGAGTCTTATCCACAGTCTCACAAATGACGAAACTTACATACCTTAATGTTGAAGGCAATGATATCAATACTATACCATCTACATTTAGCAACTTGACTAATTTAAAAACATGCATTATGAAAAATAACAATATCAATGCACATTCTGGAGTACCTCTGACATCTCTACCACGCGTTGAACACCTTGATATTGACAATAATGAATTTCATTCAATTTTTACAATTTCAATTAAATCCATGAAATATATCTCAGCTCGTGCCAACTGCATCGTATCACTTCCTGAAAAGATGGCTCCAGAAATGTTAGAAGAACTATATTTAGATGACAATGAGCTAAATGATATTTCAAATGTCAAATTTAATTCAATGGCAAAGTTGAGAATTCTTTCCTTGAGAAACAACCATCTACAAACCATACCTGACAGCTTGGGGCGTGTATTTAATTTAGAAACATTGGACCTCGAAGGTAATCAGATAAATGACATCCCAGAAAACCTTTCATGGACAAGATTGAAAAAAATCAACCTTTCAAAAAATAAGCTGAAACAGTTTCCTACTCAGCTAGAAAAAGCACCCCAGCTTGAAAATTTAAACCTTTCCAACAATACACTTGGCGACACTACAACTAGAACATTATTCAGTACCTTGCAAAAACTGAAATGCTTAAACATCAAAAATACTGATTCTAAGCATATTCCAGATGGATGTTGTCATTCTGAAAACTTAGAAGAACTTATACTCAGCGACAACAATATTGAGGAGATTCCACATGACATCCAGCAGATGAAGAATCTACAAGAACTGCATATTGATAATAATAATATTGAGGTTGTGCCAAAACATGTATTTCAACATACATCACTTAAATCTATCCATGCAAATGACAATAAGATACATACAGTATCCCACAAAATATCTGCAAATAATAAAGGGCGTAGATTAACACTATTAGATATGAGTAATAACATTCTTAAGTCCTTGCCAAGTTCACTACAAAATGTTACAACCTTGAAGACGTTTGATGTGTCTTACAATCAGATGTACTTTATCCCATCTGCACTGGTTGAACTTACCGCCACCACAGATAGTGACAATAAGCAAAGAGAAATTTTAATTAAGGGTAACTTAGCAAGGAATATTCCATCATCTGTAAATAAAAACGTTCCACTGACAAACTTGAAAAGTGTTGGAGATGAATCTGATATCAATCAGCTGAAGAGAGCATGTATGTACTTTATTGGCTCAAGATCTTCTGGAAAATCCCTTTTGATGAGAAAGTTGTTGTTGGCCAGTGGTAGAAAATCTGGTGTCCCAGAAACAAATTCATTAAAAAATAATGCTGCTTTCCTTAATAGCAATATTTGGCCGGTACATGATGACATTGACATTAAAGTGACTGATTGCAGCGGGCCTGTCGAGCTGCAAGCTATAGCACAACTATTTTTTGTGACAAATGCAGTATACATTATAACAGTTAACTTAAAGCAATATGACCCATCCGGTGACAGTTTCAGTCAGCATATTAAGTACTGGATAAAATATGTATTTTCTGTCATCGGTAGTGATTTCATGGTGCTAGTAGTTGGAACTCACTGTGATCAAATCACTGACCTTCACCGCCACGAATGCTGCAGAGCAATCAAGGACAA